TGGGCTCCCAAAATAATACACCATGGGTGCCCAAGAATTCCCCGAAGAAAAAAAAACCACTACGACACTCAAGACTTTCAAATTCATAAAAAATAAAACACTAAAAGCTCAAAAGATTTTTTCAAGTTGATCTAGTAACAAAACACAGATGGTAAAACGCTGACTAAAATTTGCCTAATCATCCCCACTAATAATAATGTGATAACGTCACTTGAAAATCGTACATAGTAAATGGGTTTTAAATTGTATAAAATAATATGTAGTTTATGACTTCGTCTTAAGTTTTTACCCGAAACGTCCAGATTTTTGGAAAAAATATGAAAAAACATTTTGCAATTTAATTTTTTATTTGCAAAGCCGAATGCTTTGAAATCTTGCAGATATTTTAAAGTTATGATAAGAATAATAAATTTTTAATCCAAATATATTTACTTATCCCCTCCAAAAAATCGATGACGTTAGCTCAAAATTTTGTCGAATAAATCCTATCTTAAATATCCAAAATATGATGAGTCTATAATTGTGGTTTATCATTGCATTCATATTTTTTAGATTTGCCCCTTTTTTCTCAGAGAATTTGTAATTTGCCAAAATTAGTCTTATCTTAGTAAGGACTAGCCCCGCCCACCCACCCTCTATTTTCTTACAGGGTATGGGATTTGCCAAAATCAGTCTTACCTTAGCAAGTACTAGCCCCGCCCACCCACCCCCTATTTTCTCAGAGGATTATTTGATTTGCCAAAATCTGTCTTATCTTAGCAAATATGTACCTAACAAATGACATACCTTTTAAGAAAATAGAGGGCAGGTGAACGGGGCTATTACTTGCTAAGATAAGATTTATTTTGGAAAATCACATATCCTCTGAAATAATAGGGGGCGGGTGGGCGGGGCTAGCACTTGCTAAGATAAGACTTTTTTGGCAAATAACATACCCTCTGAGAAAATAGGGGTGGGTGGGCGGGGCTAGTACTTGCTAAGTTAAGACTTATTTTGGCAAATGACATATCCTTTGAGAAAATAGGGGTGGGTGGGCGGGGCTAGTACTTGCTAAGATAAGACTGATTTTGCCTCTATCAGTCTTGTAAAAGGTTATTGGTTGAGTTTTATTTTTCTAAACAAAAGAATTCATATATTTTTCCATTTCTCAATTTTTCAATGTTTCAGTTTGGGATTTTTTCACTGTTTCGTTTCTTCAATTTTTCAAATTTTTGATATTGTGTTTTCTCGGTTTTTAAATTTTTCGATATTTTAATTTTTCAGTTTTTAAAGTTTTAGGTTTTTAGATTTCTCACTATCTCGACTTTTCGATTTTTCAGTTCCATGATTTTTCAATTTGTCGAATTTTTAAATTTTAGAATTTTTGTTTTCTTTGATGTTTTGAGTTCTCGATCATTCGATTTTCTGAGTTTTCAGGCTTGGATTTTTTTGTTGTTCAATTCTTGGATTTTTAAAGCTTTTGTTTTTTAAATTTTCCTATTTATCAACAACTGGGATTTCAATGTTTTGATTTTTTTATTGTTAAATTTCTCGATTTTTTGAATTTTTATTTTTTGATGATTTTTTTTTTCAAAAATTTTCAGTTTTTCAATTTATTAACTTTACGGTACTTCAGTTTTGCTCGATTTCGATTCCTCAATTTTTCGATATATTACTGTTGAGATTTTTCAATTTATCGATTTTTCGATTTTTCGATTCTTCATATTTTCGGTTTCTCGAATTTCTTCATTTTTCCATTTCTCAATTTTCCGATGTTTCAGTTTTACAATTTTTAAATTTTTTTATCTTTCAGTTTTCAATTTTTGACGTTTCTAAATTTTTCGATTTCTCAATTTTCCGATTAACTGATTTTTTTATTTTCCCATTTCTCTATTTCTCAATTTTTCAATTCTTCCTTCAATTGTGATTTGTCAATTTTTCGATTTCTGAACTTTTCAATGTTTCAGTTTTCGATTTTTTCACTTTTCCGATTCTTCAATTTTCTTTCCATTTTTCAGTTTTTCAAGATTTCAGTTTTGAATTTTTTCACTTTTTCGATTTTTCAATTTTCCTTCTATTTTTCAGTTTTTCAGTATTTCAGTTCTGGGATTTTGCAATGTTTCGGTTCTTCAATTTTTCCATTTTTTGATGTTTCGATTTCTCGGTTTTTCAATTTTTGGATAGGTATTTTAATTTTTCAATTTTTAAGTTCTAGATTTTCCGTTAATTTTTTTGTTTTCCTTGATGTTTTGATTTGTCGATTATTCGATTTTGCAAGTTCTCGGTTTAGATTTTTTCGTTTACCAATTCTTCGATTTTTAAATTGTTTAATTTTTTGATTGTTCAATTTCTCGATGTTTAGATTTTTCAATTTTTCGGTTTACCGATTTTTTTTCATTTAAAATGTTTCAATTTTTCAATTATTAACTTTTCGATTTGTCAACTTTGGTCTAATTTGATTTCTTAATTTTTTGATGTTTTGATTTCTCGATGCTTCAGTTTTTGAACATTCCGATGTTTCGATTTTTCGACTTTTTGGCTTTTCGAGTGTTCAATTTTTTAATTTTTAAATTTTAGATTTTTGTTTTTTTTTTTTTTGATGTTTCAATTTCCCAATTCTTCAATTTTTCGATATTTTAATTTTTCAATTTTTCGATTTTTTAAATTTTTTATTTTTCGATTTTACTATTTTTTGATGCTTGGATTTCTCAATTTTTCAAATTTTCAGTACTCAATTTTTCAGGATTTGAATATTGAGAACTTTTCAATTTCTAGATTTTCATTTTTCAGATATTTTAATTTTTTGATTTTTTAATGTTTCGATTTTTAAAGTTTTCGATTTTTCAATTCCATGATTTTTTAATTTGTCGAATTTTTAAATTTTAGATTTTTTGTTTTCTTTGATGTTTCGAGTTCTCGATCATTCGATTTTCTGAGTTTTCAGGCTTGGATTTTTTTATTGTTCAATTATTGGATTTTTAAAATTTTTGTTTTTTAAATTTTCCTATTTATCAACTTACTGGGATTTTAATGTTTTGATTTTTTTATTGTTCAATTTCTCGATTTTTTTAATTTTTAGTTTTTGATGATTTTTTTTTTTAAATTTTCAGTTTTTCAATTTATTAACTTTATGATACTTCAGTTTTGCTCGATTTCGATTTCTCAATTTTTCGATATATGTATTACTGTTGGGATGTTTCAATTTATCGATTCTTCGATTTCTCGATTCTTCATATTTTCGGTTTCTCGAATTTCTTCAATTTTCGATTTCCCAATTTTTCGATTTCTCAATTTTTCGATTAACTGATTTTTTATTTTCCCATTTCTCTATTTTTCAATTTTTCAATTCTTCCTTCAATTGTGATTTTTCAATTTTTCGATTTCTGAATTTTTCACTGTTTCAGTTTTGACTTTTTCACTTTTCCGATTCTTCAATTTTCTTTCAATTTTTCAGTTTTTCAAGATTTCAGTTTTGAATTCTTTCACTTTTTCGACTTTTCAATTTTCCTTACATTTTTCAGTTTTTCAGTATTTCAGTTCTGAGATTTTGCTGTGTTTCGGTTCTTCAATTTTTCCTTTTTTGATGTTTCGATTTTTCGGTTTTTCAATTTTTCGATAGGTATTTTAATTTTTCAATTTTTAAGTTGTAGATTTTCCCTTAATTTTTTTGTTTTCCTTGATGTCTTGATTTGTCGATTATTCGATTTTTCAAGTTCTCGGTTTAGATTTTTTGGTTTACCAATTCTTCGATTTTTAAATTGTTTAATTTTTAGATTGTTCAATTTCTCGATTTTTAGATTTTTCAATTTTTCGGTTTACCGATTTTTTTTCATTTAAAATGTTTCAATTTTTCAATTATTAATTTTTCGATTTTTCAATTTTGGTCTAATTTGATTTCTTAATTTTTTGATGTTTTGATTTCTCGTTGTTTCAGTTTTTGAACATTCCGATGTTTCGATTTTTCGACTTTTTGGCTTTTCGAGTGTTCAATTTTTTGATTTTTGAAGTTTAGATTTTTGTTTATTTTATTTTTTTTGATGTTTCGATTTCCCAATTCTTCAATTTTTCGATATTTTAATTTTTCAATTTTTCGATTTTTTAAATTTTTTATTTTTCTTTTCTTTTATTTCTCAATTTTTGGATTTTTTAAATTTTACATTTTTCGATTTTACTATTTTTTGATGCTTGGATTTCTCAATTTTTCAAGTTTTCAGTACTCAATTTTTCAAGATTTGAATATTGATAACTTTTCAATTTCTAGATTTTCAATTTTCAGATATTTTAATTTTTTGATTTTTTAATGTTTCGATTTTTGGGTGTTTTGATTTTTCGATTTTTTCTGGGGGAGTATTGTTTGTTGTACTGCACTTGACGGGCGAGGGAAGTTCTGTCGAAATAACCTTCGACCAATTTTTAGGGGTTCTTACTAAGCATTCCTTATTTAACCGAACAGTTATTAATTTAACTAAGCAGCTATTATTTCACCAAGCATATATTATTTTTACTGAGAATTTATTTTTTAACTGAGCATTTATTATATAACTTAGCATTTATCATTTTTATCGAGCAAAAATACAGAGCGTTTAAAAATAGAACTCTGCATTTAATTTGTTCCTTTATCTAAATAACAAGAAAACGGTATTAATAATACATTTAGGCGAATGATCTAAATTGTGTTTGAATAATATAATAATTATCTCGAATATTAAAATTAATATGTCAAAAGAATACGAGAAATGATTATTCTGTGCTGAAGGTATGTTGTGGGCCGCCTGTCATAAATTATCATTATTCTTTATTATGGGGTTACGATGTTTTTATGACCCACGTTCGGTAGTCCTCTATCCCAGAGCGTCAGGTAGATTTAAAGAAGAATTGTTGGTTGCGTTTAAGGCAACAAATGGCGCCCAATTCAAATTTGTCTTTCGTCTAGGGTTCCCCCTGAAAGTGAATCCAGATCCACCCCCAGTTTTGGCATTTGTACAACTACTTTGACAAAAGGCTAGTTTGGGGTAACTTACCAATCACATACATGTATCCGGAAACTATGAACGTATAGAAATTGGGTGCATCCGAAGAAACTTCGCATTTGAATCGTCCGGTGACTTCCGGCTGCACATTCCGGAGGACGACCTCGTTAGAACTGGACTTGCTCAGCTGAAATTCAAACGTATGTACATTGCGGTAACCGAAAACATACCAAAGTACAAATCGATATCCCATTCCCAAGATTTAGTGACGTTTATTTGGAAAGTTTGCTTAATCCAGCAGGATTATTAAGGGTCTTAATAGATTTCAAATATATATGGAAATGAGCAAAAAGTAGCTCCGGTAATAGAGAAGCTCATTTGCGTCGAGTCAAATTTCAGGCGCGGTAACAGCGATAAATAAATTTTAATTGTCTCTTAGCACGTTTCAATTGGCGTGCTTTTAAGAGCCCCAAAAATAAAGCAATTTCCGCTAAAAAATTCTAATTTAAACATAATTTAGCGGAGCGAGGATAATCGTAGTCACGGGAGCGTCCCACCTTTCCCTATTTATAAGCGAATCTCACCAGCAGCTAGGCACATAATTATACATTTTAGATGATGATGACCGCAGCGTAACGTCTCCACATAATCACATTCTGAGTTGCTGAATAATTCCGCGGAAAATTCTGTTTATGGTTATGAACATCAGACTGTGCATAATCTCGCCGAGTTGAACCAAAACCCGACGTTATCTCGGAGATATTTGCGGGGATTTACGCTGGGCTTCTTTGAAATTTCGCAAATCTAAATAATGAAATCGAATAAAGGACTGCGCAATGCAAAAATGGGGCCATTAAAAACGGGTTGATACAAAATGTTGGAGAATCCTTGGTAAAATTAAAAAAGTGTGATTTTTGTAATGTATCTAACAACTCTGTATAAATTAAACTTCATAATTTGCAATTTTTCTAGAGAATGCAATTAAGCTCCGCCTCTTTGTCTGACAACGAATGAAAAATCCATCACAATTAAGATCGGGCGGATGGGTGGGGCTTATATTTAGTCTTGTTTTTTTTTATACACATAGGTATGTAATTTTCTTTTCATAACAAGAAACTTAAAATATGTTCAAAATGGTAACTTTTTGTAGGGCAACATAGATCATGCAATTAAGCTCCGCCCCTGCGTCTGACTACTAATACAAAATTCATCACAATTGAGATCCGGGCGGATGGGCGGGGCTTATATTTTGCCTTTCTTTCCTCAATATATAAGTCAAAAAAATCTAAAAATTTGAAAATATCCAAAAAACCCAAAAAAATTAAAAAAATCCAGAAAGTCTAAGAAAATCCAAGAGGATTGAAAAGGATAAAAAATTTCCATAAAATTTATGTAAGTCAGAAAGTAAAAAAAGCAAAAATAACAATTATTCAAAAAATCGGAAAAATTGAACCAAGACAAAAATTTCAAAACATTGAAAAATATTCAAAAGCCAGAGGTCCAAAACAGTAAAAAAAATCTAAAAATGTCCAAGAAAATCCAAAAAAAAAAATGTAAAAAATTAAAGAAAATACGAAAAAATCTAAAAAACCCAAAAATAATTCAAGATATCCAGTAAATCTAACAAAATCCAAGAGGATCGAAACAGATAAAAAATCCATTAAACATAAGTCAGAAAGTAAAAAAGTAAAAATAACAATTATTCAAAAAGTCGGAAAAATTGAATAAAGACAAAAATTTCAAAAAATTGAAAAATATTCAACCTAGGAATTCCAAAGATGCAAAGATCCAAAAAAGCCAAAAAAATCTAAAAATGTCCAGGTTAAAGCCCGAAAAATTAAAAAAAAACAAAAACATGCAAAAAAAATTCAAGAAAATCCGAAAATATCCAAAAAACCCAAAAAAATTCAAAAAATCCAGAAAGTCTAAGATAATCCAAGAGGATTGAAAAGGATAAAAAAATCCATAAAATTTATGTAAATCAGAAAGTAAAAAAGCAAAAATAACAATTATTCAAAAAATCGGAAAATATTCAAAAGAACCTAGGAAATTCCAAAGACGCAGAGATCCAAAAAAGAAAAAAAAAGAAAAATGTCCAAGTTAAATCCCAAAACAATGTAAAAAAAAACAAAAATATGTAAAAAATCCAAGAAAATACGAAAAAATCCAAAAAACTCAAAAATAATACAAAATATCCAGAAAATCTAACAAAATCCAAGAGGATCGAAACAGATAAAAAAATCCATTAAATATAAGTCAGAAAGTAAACAAGTAAAAATAACAATTATTCAAAAAGTCGGAAAAATTGAATAAAGACAAAAATTTCAAAAAATTGAAAAATATACAACCTAGGAATCCCAAAGATGCAAAGATCCAAACAAGCCCAAAAAAACTAAAAATGTCCAAGTTAAAGCCCAAAACAATGTAAAAAAAAACAAAAATATGTAAAAAATCCAAGAAAATACGAAAAAATCCAAAAAACTCAAAAATAATTCAAAATATCCAGAAAATCTAACAAAATCCAAGAGGATCGAAACAGATAAAAAAATCCATTAAATATAAGTCAGAAAGTAAACAAGTAAAAATAACAATTATTCAAAAAGTCGGAAAAATTGAATAAAGACAAAAATTTCAAAAAAATGAAAAATATTCAACCTAGGAATTCTAAAGATGCAAAGATCCAAAAAAGCCAAAAAAAATCTAAAATTGTCCAGGTTAAAGCCCGAAAAATCCAAGAAAAAAAAACATGCAAAAAAATTCAAGAAAGAAAATCCGAAAAATTAAAAAAAAAATCCAAAAAATCCAGAAAATCTAAGTAAATCTAAGAAAATCTAGGAACATCCAAAAAACCAAACAAATCCAAAAAAAAAACTTATTCAGAAAAACACAAAAATTCTTAAAAAAAGTAATAAAATACAAAAAATTACAACAAACCAAAAAAAAAAGCAGAAAACCAAACAAATAAATAGAAAATCAAAAACTCCCAAAAAATTCAAAAAAAGCAAAAACTTCAAAAAAAAAAAGTTAAAGACCGAGAGAATTCCCAAAAATTCTGAAGATCCAAAAAAGCCAAACAAATAAAAAAATCAAGTCCAATATAAAGTCCAAGAAACACAAACTGAAAATATCCAATAATCCAAGAACTGTAAATGTCCAAAAAATTATGAGAAAATAAAAAAGCACAAAATAAGAATTATTCGAAAAGTCGAAAAAATTGAATAAATCAAGAAAAATTTAGAAAATTCCAAAAACTTCCAAAGATCTCAAAAAGCGAAACAAATTCATTAAAAAATCCAAAATAAACTCCAAAAAAAAAAAAATAAAAAAAACAAAAATAAATCCAATTATCGAAAAAAATCCATAAAACCCAAAAAAATCCAAAATGTTCACAAATCTCAGGAAATTCGGGAAAAAGAACTGAAGAAATCCAATAATTAAAAAAATCGAAAACATCCAAAATATTCAAAAAAAATCTAACAAATCCATAAAACACAAGTAAAAAAATCAAGGAATCCAATGATCCCAGAAATCTGAATCTAAATCCAAAGTATGCAAAAATCCAAAAGAACAAAAAAATAAAAAAGAACAAAGGATCCAATCAATCCAAAAAATAAAAATATACAAAATTCAAAAAAATAAACACGAAATGTAAGAAACCCAAGTAACTAAAAATAGCCAATAATCTAAAAAATCGCAAATATCCAGAAAATTCAAAAACATCTAAAACACCAATGAATTTTTAAAATTCAAAAAATCCAAAAAATCCAGAAAGTCTCAGAAAATCCAAGAGGAATGAAAAGGATAAAAAAATCCATAAAATTTATGTAAGTCAGAAAGTAAAAAAGCAAAAATAACAATTATTCAAAAAATCGGAAAAATTTAATAAAGACAAAAATTTCAAAAAATTGAAAAATATTCAAAAGAACCTAGGAAGAAAAAGAAAAAAAAATCTAAAAATGTCCAAGTTAAAGCCCAAAACAATCTAAAAAAAAACAAAAATATGTAAAAAATCCAAGAAAATACGAAAAAATCCAAAAAACTCAAAAATAATTCAAAATATCCAGAAAATCTAACAAAGATCCAAAAAAGCAATAAAAATCTAAAATTGTCCACGTGAAAGCCCCAAAAATTCAAAAAAAAAAAAACAAAAACATGCAAAAAAATTCAAGAAAATTCGAAAAATTCCAAAAAAATCCAAAAAATCCAGATAATCTAAGTAAATCTAAGAAAATCTAGGAACATCCAAAAAACCAAACAAATCCAAAAAAAAAACATCCAGAAAAACCCAAAAAATCTAAAAAAAGTAATAAAATACAAAAAATTACAATAAACCAAAAAAAATGCAAAAAACCAAAAAAATAAATATAAAATCAAAAACTCCCAAAATATCCAAAAAAAGCAAAAACTTCAAAAAAAAATTAAAAACCGAGAGAAGTCCAAAAAATTCTGAAGATCCAAAAAATTCAAACAATAAAAAAAATCAAGTCCAATATAAAGTCCAAGAAACACAAACTGAAAATATCCAATAATCCAAGAACTGTAAATGTCCAAAAAATTGAATAAATCCAGAAAAATTGAGAAAATTCCAAAAAATTTCAAACATCCCAAAAAGCGAAACAAGTTTATTAAAAAATCCAAAATAAAGTCGAAAAAAAAAATAAAAAATAAATAAAAATAAATCCAAATAATCGAAAAAAATCCATAAAATCCAAAAAAATCCAAAATGTTCACAAATGTCAGGAAATTCGTGAAAAAGAACTGAAGAAATCCAATAATTAAAAAAATCGAAAACATCCAAAATATTTAAAAAAAATCTAACAAATCCATGAAACACAAGTAAAAAAATCAAAGAATCCAATGATTCCAGAAATCTAAATCTAAATCTAATGTATGCAAAAATCCAAGAGAACAAAAAAAATAAAAAAAAAAACAAAGAAGCCAATCAATCCAAAAAATTAAAATATACAAATTTCAAAAAAATAAACACGAAATGTAAGAAACCCAAGAAACCAAAAACAGCCAATAATCTAAAAAATCGCAAATATCCAGAAAATTCAAAAACATCTAAAACATCAATGAATATTTAAAATTCAAAAAATCCGAAAACTCAAGAAACTCAAATTCAGGAAATTCAATGAGTCCAAAAGTCATCATTATTATTTAATTATTCATTTAAATAAAAATCCAAAAAAATATATACTTAGTATCCAAAAAATACAAAAATCTGAAAATAAAAACAAAAAATAACAACTAAAAGTCGAAATAATTGAATAAATCTAAAAAAAAACAGAAAATCCAATAAATCCAAAAATATCCAGAAAATCTAACAAAATCCAAAGGGATCGAAACAGATAAAAAAATCTATAAAATATAAGTCAGGAAGTAAAAAAGTAAAAATAACAATTATTCAAAAAGTCGGAAAAATTGAATAAAGACAAAAATTTCAAAAAATTGAAAAATATTCAACCTAGGAATTCCAAAGATGCGAAGATCCAAAAAAGCCAAAAAAATCTAAAGTTGTCCAGATTAAAGCCCGAAAAATTCAAGAAAAAAAAAAAAACGAAAACATGCAAAGAAATTCAAGAAAATCCGAAAAATTCCAAAAAAATCCAAAAAATCCTGAAAATCTAAGTAAATCTAAGAAAATCTAGGAACATCCAAAAAACCAAACAAATCCAAAAAAAAACTTATTCAGAAAAACTAAAAAAATCTGAAAAAAAGTAATAAAATACAAAAAGTTACAACAAACCAAAAATAATGCAAAAAACCAAAAAAAATAAATAGAAAATCAAAAACTCCCAAAAAATAAAAAAAAAAGCAAAAGCTTCAAAAAAAAAGTTAAAAACCGAGAGAATTCCAAAAAATTCTGAAGATTCAAAAAAACCAAACAAATAAAAAAAATCAATTCCAATATAAAGTCCAAGAAACAAACTGAAAATATCCAATAATCCAAGAACTGTAAATGTCCAAAAAATTATGAGGAAATAAAAAAGCACAACATAAGAATTATTCAAAAAGTCGAAAAAATTGAATAAATCCAGAAAAATTTAGAAAATTCCAAAAAATTTCAAGGATACCAAAAAGCGAAACAAATTCATTAAAAACTCCAAAATAAACTCCAAAAAAAAAATAAAAAACCAAAAATAATTCCATAAAATCCAAAAAAAGCCGAAATGTTCACAAATTTCAGGAAATTCGGGAAAAAGAACTGAAGAAATCCAATAATTAAAAAAATCGAAAACATCCAAAACATTCAAAAAAAATCTAACAAATCCATGAAAGATAAGTAAAAAATCAAGGAATCCAATGATTCCAGAAATCTAAATCTAACTCTAAAGTATGCAAAAATCCAAAATAACAAAAAAAAATGAAAAATAAACAAAGAAGCCAATCAATCCAAAAAATAAAAATATACAAAATTCAAAAAAATAAACACGAAATGTAAGAAACCCAAGAAACTAAAAATAGCCAATAATCTAAAAAATCACAAATAACCAGAAAATTAAAAACTTCTAAAACATCAATGAATTTTTAAAATTCAAAAATCCAAAAACCCAAGAAACTCAAATTCAGGAAATTCAATAAGTCCAAAAATTATTATTATTATTATTGCTGTTTAATTATTTATTTAAATAAAAATCCAAAAAAATATATACTTAGTATCCAAAAAATACAAAAATCTGAAAATAAAAACAAAAAATAACAACTAAAAGTCGAAATAATTGAATAAATCTAAAAAACCCAAGAAAATCCAAAAAGTCCAAAAAAATCCAAAATAATCCAAATAAATAACATTTACTATTGTAAAAGTTGGAAATGACGTCATATTACTGCTGGTGGGGATGATCAGACAAATTTTTTTAATTTTTTTGAGCATAAATTGGACCACTCACAGAATGTAATTCAGTTTTCATCTCATAGTAAATAAAATAAGCCAATGAAATACAGATGCGGAGGTGGGTGGAGTTAATTTTACCTTTTTGCCTATGTTTCAATTGCTTTTCAAATGTAGCCCCACCCACCCACCCTATCTCAATTGTGATGATATTTTTATTCGTCGTGAACCGAGAAGGCGGAGCTTAACGACAAAATCCTTATTTCTCCACGAGAAATTAAAAACATGTTTTTGAGTATCGTCTTGTTCAAACAATACTATGTACATTAAGAAAAAAATAAAGCCAAAGATTAAGCCCCACCCATAGCTGCCCTGATTTAAATAGTAATGACATTTTCATTCCTTGGCAACACCTAGGGGCGGAGCCTAATTGCAAAATCCACATGTCTTTACAAAAATTGACGATTTTTAACGTGTTTTAAGTTTCCATCATAAAAAAAATCCTAACAATTGAGATGGGGTGGGTGGGTGGGGTTTATATTTCATTTGTTTTTTCTTAATGTACATAGTATTTTTTGAACAACACGATACTGAAAAACATGTTTTTAATTTCTTGCAAAGAAATCAGTATTTTGCAGTTAAGCTCCGCCCCATTGGTTTACGGCGAATAAAAAAATCATCAGATTTGAGATAGGGCGGGTGGGCGGGCTTACACTTTGCCATTTTGTTTTAATATGTGCAGACTTTTTTTCACAACATGAAGTTTGAAATATGTTTAAAATTGTGAATTTGTATAAGGAAGTATAATAATATACTCCTATAATATTATTATAACTTTTACTATCGCACGTGATCATCATAATCGAGTTCTTTATTTCATTTGAAGTCCCACTTTAAAATATCTAGAACCTGATAAAAATTCTATCCATTGGAAAAATTCGTCATTTTTACAATGTCATTATTGGCCTTATTAACAAATAAAACTACTTTTTTACTGTTCTTTTAGTACTTTGTGCGAAATTAAACTATGAACAAAAATGTGTAGTCCCCTTTGATTATTTTTAATACTCCTGTAAAATGAATATTTATTTAATAATAAAAAAAAAAATATGTTCTTTGCATATACTACGTCCTCTTTCCAAAACCTCAAGAAATGAGACTCATGGTCACGAACAAAAAGATTGCCAAAAATTCCTGTAGGTATGTAGCGGTCCGGAACCCAAGAAAAGACTAAATAGTCATAGTTTGCCTTATGATGAGAAGTGCTATACAGGGTGATCTCAAAATACGTGTATGCAACGTGGAAAATCAGCGGGCTCCAAAGCTTGCACTTTTTGAACGTGGTATGGATCTAAGCCTTGTTCTTTTAATGAACGATGTACTGCAAACTATGAAACTCCAATTTCAGCCGTAAGTCGGCGAGTGCTGATGTAGGGCTCTTCTTCCATGCGTTCTAAAATTTGTTCTTCAGCTTGCAGTATTCTTTCGGTTCTATCACGACCACGATCATGAGTTGAGGCTTGAAGGTACTCCATCTCGACACGTTCTGAATTGGAAAAATTCACCATTTTCAAAGACGTTAACCGAACACACATCGGCAATCAACTCATAGACGCCTGACCCTAATCGTGTTTTTGAAGGTTGCCTAACAGTGCCCCGATTTTTTGGTTCTTAATCCTAGTCGTTCTGTGCCATTCATTCAATAGTAGTTCTAGTAGGTCAAAAAGCACTACCAGTGCCGTGTATAACAATTTATATTTAATTTCAAATATTTGCTTCTAAACATAGCTTATTCCCCATTTTTTTATTGCCCACATTTCGAAATCACCCTGTATAATATTGTTACACTTATGCAACATATGTAATATAAATTTTTGCTGCATTTTTCGTGGTAATTGGTGAAAATTTTAATTTGAATACAATTTTAATAGAGTTGGTTATTGCCAATATGCAGGTAAATAAGTACCGACCTTTTCCAGTAATGCGGACAGGTTTTTCAAAGACCTCCAATTAGCAATTTTTTGCATATATGCGCATATTTACATGATTTTTTCTGCATATAATTCTGAGCTTTAGTCATAACCCCTGGAATTAACTTCTTTCAGCAGGAGTAACCCCGACACCCGTAAAAACCAGCGCCCTCAATACTTACATCGACATTGATCCCGGGCAAAGGGAACACTTGCGTGCTGGGCAGCTCCTTCGGGATGTACCTGAAGAACTCCTTCTGCCCTTTGTACCACTTGACCGTGTACAGCTGCTCCCCCTGCAGGTCGTACCTGCACTGCAGCGTCACCGTGTCCATGATCTTCACCGCCGGAGGGATCGTCACCGACACGTCCTTGAGGGCGTCTCCACCTGCAAACCGCCAAAGTTAATCGAGTTTTGAAACGATGGCGTTAGCGAAGTTAGGCGAGTTTGAGTCGGGATTGCCTCACGCATGGCGGCGCTTACACCTCTTGAACAACTCAACCAGGAGCTATTACACAAATGGGGTTGGTAATTTTCTTGCGCGTTGTTACAGAAACGCGTACACTTTTGTCTCCCAAGGAGGTGATTGTACAGATTATCAATTAACTGGAGCGAAAGAGGAGGATTGAAGGCGGTAGTTTAATCTGTCGTTTTTAATTGGGCAGAATTTAGCAAACAATTATGCCGGATTGGGGATGTAGGGCGAAATTAAGTAGGAAGGGGGTTACGATGCGCACACTTGATAACGTATAAAACGCGTTTAATCTAAAATTGTTGAACTACGTTGTGATGGGCTTAAATTTTCTTTAGAAAACACATATATCCTTTAAAAAACCAGTGACCTTTGAACATCAAGGATGAGATTTTTTGTAATAATCGCCTCTTGATGGTCTATTAAGGGCTTTTCATTAGCTCCCGAGTATTCCTATTGTCGGAGTATTACACCAGTCAAGTTCCTCCCGAGTGCCACTCACGCTCAACCCGGCATGAAAACCCACCTCGCTCCGTGCTCTAAAATTCCTTTTATGCTCCTGAAAGTTGCAAGATGCACCAATCTGATTTCGATAAGAAACCAAAGGGAATTTCAAAACGGTCCCGTTTTATCAAAGGTAAGAAGATTCCCTCCGCCCTAATTCTCCCGAAGCTCGATCGTTAAAAAATGACAAAGAGTGTTTTCCGCCCTTTTCAATAAATTCAAGTAAGAAGAGATGAGCCGCCTCCGGCGTTTGATGAAGAATTCATCCCTTTACGAGACCACAGATTTGCCCGGACCGAAAACAGGGCATCCTCGGTTGGTTGCGTAACGTCGCGTAAACACCAAATAATGCAGAGGCTTCCACATATATAAAACACAAGTTCCGGTAATCCGGATTATTACCAGCGCAGGTTGGGAAGTCCATGGAGGGAAAGTGTCGAACATGCACGGAGTGACCCAAGGCACACGGGACCTAACACCGAGAAATAAACTTTATTTTTCTGCTCAACTGAATCTAAGCCTGGGAAGATTTACTGGAAGTATAACTGTAACTCAGTCATATACCGGACGCGGTCGAGACGGGCTTCAACAGCGCACTAATTCATCTAGAGCTCCTTGACTCTATTCGCTTGTTGTGTATCAAGATTTCGGTGTCAATTAGCGTGAAACGAGGCTTTTTCCAATTTCTCACATGCATATTCATGAGGGTGAGCCGCGGGTTTAACTTTTCCTGTGTAAACATGGGACTTGCACAAGGTTGTGGCTAATTAACCAATTTAAATTTGGGCACACATTTGCTCACGCAAAAAAGGGCGCTCGGGATTACGTACACAGCTTTGTCATTTGATTGCGGTAATTGCTCATTTTGGTTCTTTGCTTCACAATCACGTCGATGCTGTGCACCCTATTCGTAGTTAAATTAAATGTTGCTTTATTTTATTTATGCAGTTGGCAGGTGCTTGAGTTAATAGAAATTTTATTCATTAGCTCCGGGTGGAAAACCGACGCTAGCCAGACGAACTCGCGGACTTCGCAGAATGCGTTTTTAATCTAAACGGTTTTTAATGAACCAAAATTACAAAAACAATATTTCTTTGAAAGCCGGTTCCTGTTTTGTGAAATAAGTTCGTATAAAATGTAAATGCCTCAGTTCGTGAAAAAAATCTCTTTCGCGGTCAACGGCAAGGTGGAATTCCGCCGATCAAACCAACATTTTGTTCGTGAACTTCGTCTAATGGGGTTTTAAGCTAAATTGTTTTTAATGAAGCAAAACTGCGGCTAGTGGCTTTGAAAAAACAATTTTTACGTGAAACGCTTCCCTGTTTAAAAAAAAAAAATTCATGACCCCTGGAGTACGAAAAAAGAAGTCTCCGGTTTCCGTCTGTCTGTTTGTCAGTCTGTCTGTCTGTCTGTCTGTCTGTCTCGATTCCTATTAGACACGCAATCGTCGAAACTGTTGGACCCACTCTTGTGAAATTTTGTATGTAGATTAGAAATATTATGTAGATGATTAAATGCTAACCAAAATTTTGATAATCATCCCCAACAACAATTTGATGACGTCATTTCAAAGAATTCTATGTTTATTTGATTTAACTGTTATAGAACAATATAGGAAACATGAAAATGTGCTTCTTAAAAATTTTTAAATATTTTGCTTTTTTTTTAATATGTATTATCTTCCTTTCACAACATGAAACTTAAAACATGTTTAAAATGGAAAAATTTGTATAAATAAATATCTATTTTCCACTTAGGTTTCGTCCCATTAATGCAAAATCCATATTTCCTTGTAAAAATGTACCATTTTAACCATGTTTTAAGTTTCTTGGTATGAAAAGATGGCTATGTATATTAAAAAAACAAAGGCAAAATAGAAGCCCCGCCCACACACCCGATCTCAATTCTGATGACTTTTTTATTCGGCGTGACTCGAGGAATTGTGAAATGTGAAATCCATATTTTCCTACCAGAACTTACCATGTGAAATATGTTCTTAAGTAATCGTGTTATATATAGAAAACTAAGGGCCGGTTTATAGAAGCGCGAGTTAAATATTTAATCCTCGATTAATTTAACACTGGATTAAAATGTGGAATGGGAGCTCGTGATTGGTTAAAACCTGCACGTCGCCTAGCAACGAACCTCAATTAAAAGTTAATCGCGAATTAACTTTAACTTCGGTTTCTATAAACCAGGTCTAAATGTTTTAATTAAAAAAGAAAACCAAAGGAGAAGCTCTCTTGATCCCAATTGTGATGAATTTTTCATTCGTTGTCAGACCGAGGGGCGAAGCCTAATTGCAAAATCCAAATTTCCTTACAAAAATTTACCTATTTTTAAACGTGCTTTGAGTTTCTAAGAATAAAAGAATCATCACAATTGAGATGGGGTGGGTGGGCGGGGTTTATATTTTGCCGTTTTTTCTTGATGTGCATTGGATTCCTAGAACACAACGATACTCAAAAATATGTTTTTAATTTCTTGTAAAGAAATAAGGATTTTGCAGCTAAGCTCCCTCCTCTTGATTCACGCCTCATACAAAAAATCATCACAATGGAGATAGGGCGGGTGGGCGGGCTAACATTTTGCCTTTTTGTTTTAATATCTATTATCATCCTTTCACAACATGAAATTTAAAACATGTTTAGAATGGAAAATTTGTCTAAAAAAATATCGATTTTCCAATTAGGCTTCGCACTATAATTCCAAAATCCAGATTTCCTTGAAAAATATACCATTTTAACCATATTTCAAGTTTCTTGTTATGAAAAGGTGGCTATGTATATTAAGAAAACAAAGGCAAAATAGAAGCCCCGCCCACCCACCCGATCTCAATTCTGATGACTTTTTATTCGGCGTGACTCGAGGAATTGTGAATTGTGAAATCCATATTTTTCTACCAGAAATTACCATGTGAAATATGCTCTTAAGTAATCGTGTTATATAAAGAAAACTAAATGTTTTAATTAAAAAAGAAAACCAAAGGAGAAGCCCTCTCGATCCCAATTGTGATGAATTTTTCATTCGTTGTCAGATCTAATGGCGAAGCCTAATTGCAAAATCCAAATTTCCTTAAAACATGTTTAAAATGGAAAATTTGTATAAAAAAATATCGATTTTCCAATTAGGCTTCGCACTATAATTCCAAAATCCAGATTTCCTTGAAAAATATACCATTTTAACCATATTTCAAGTTTCTTGTTATGAAAAGGTGGCTATGTATATTAAGAAAACAAAGGCAAAATAGAAGTCCCGCCCACCCACCCGTTCTCAATTCTGATGACTTTTTTATTCGTCGTGACTCGAGGGGCGGAACTTAATTTTGAAATCCACATTTTCCTACCAGAAATTACCATGTGAAATATATTCTTAAGTAATCGTGTTATATAAAGAAAACTACATGTATTAATTAAAAAAGAAAAGCAAAGAAGAAGCCCTCTCGATCTCAATTGTGATGAATTTTTCATTCGTTGTCAGACCGACGAGCGAAGCCTAATTCCAAAATCCAAATTTCCTTACAAAAATTTACAATTTTAAACGTGTTTTAAGTTTCTAAGAATAAAAGAATCATCACAGTTGAGATGGGGTGGGTGGGCGGGGTTTATATTTTGCCGTTTTTTATTGATATGCACTGTATTCCTTGAACACCACGATACTTAAAACTATGTTTTTAATTTCTTGTAAAGAAATAAGGGTTTTGCAGTTAAGCTCCGTCCTCTTGATTCACACCTAATACAAAAAATCATCACAATTGAGATAGGGCGGGTGGGCGGGCTAACATTTTGCCTTTTTGTTTTAATATGCATTATTTTCCTTTCACAACATGAAACTTAAAACATATTTAAAATGTAAAATTTGTATAAGGAAATATCTATTATCCAGTTAGGCTTCGCCCCATTAATACAAAATCCATATTTCTTTACAAAAATGTACCATTTTAACCATGTTTTAAGTTTCTTGTTATGAAAAGATAGCTATGTATATTAAGAAAAAGAAAAAGCAAAATATAAACACCGCCCACCCACCCGATCTCAATTCTGATGATTTTTTATTCATCGTGAGCTTAATTGCAAAATCCATATTTTTTTACAAAAATTTACGAATTTAAACGTGTTTTAAGTTTCCAGAACTAAAAAGAATCATAAGAATTTAGATTGGGTGGGTGGGCGGGGTTAATATTTTGCCTTTTTTTCTTAATATACACAGTATTCGTTAAACACCACGACTCAAAAACATGTTTTTAATTTCTTGTAAACACATAGGATTTTGCAGTTAAGCTCTGTCCTCTTGATTCACGCCTAATACAACAAATCATCGCAATTGAGACAGGGCGGGTGGGCGGGCTAACATTTTGCTTTTTTTTTAATATGTATAGACTTCTTTTCCAAACATGAGACTTAAAACATGT